TCCTCGTATACCTTGCTAATTAGATATCTGATACAGGGAGCTTCATCGCCTTGAAAATAAAAAAGGCCCTATACAATCTGTGACTGATTTAAGTCAGACTAAAAACCACTGCTTTTACACAATATCAGATTACATTTACTGTCACATGTATTTACACAATACTGTATTTGTACAATATACCATAGTCCAGCACCACTGCCAAACATGTGAGATCAAATATGGTAAATTACTGTTGTTCTTGAGGTCTGATACACCAGAAGAAAAACACGAGTCTGAAATTACCGAAAGCTTCATGGGAAAGAGGAAAGGAGTTCCCAGAAATATACTGAAGAACGAATGCTTCTCAGTTTTGAAGTGAGCTCGCCAGAGCTTTCCAAAAGCAGATGAATGTTCTTGACCTGATGAGTGTTTATCAACTGTCTGTGTGTCTGCTTGGCAGCTTTGCTGCCTTGAAAATGTTCTTAAACTGAAAAGCTGAGAAGATGAGGTTTTGTAGTCATCCTAGCGAAGATTCCTATTCTCCCAGTACATCTTTCTTCAATAAGAAATGTGTAAAAAAATAGTGGTATTGTTGTGAGGTATGTTACCAAGAGGATACAAGATAACTCAAGAATTAGGTATTTGGATGTACCTCTCTGTGAATACTAGAACAGAGTATTTGTTTGGGATATTTTTAGTGAAATTTGTTCTATTTAGAAGTGTTTCTAATTTCTTTCACAGTGTTTAAAAATGCCTTTTTACAAACAGAACAATCAAAGAATTAAGTAATACCACAAAAAGGCAGACAGATCCTTCAAGCTTTCAGTTAATCTCAAAAGAGAAAATAAAGTTAGCCTTGGAATAATTGCAGCGACCTCGACTTGATATCTTAAATAGCAAATACTGTTCCCTACTGAGTAATACAATATCTCTGATACAAATCATAGATAAAATTTTGCTTTTATTTTTGAGTGGCTTTGTAATACTTACTAGGTAATGTAAGTCCTGGCTAACGCGAGTGGGAGTTTCAAGGATACAGTAGCTGCAGCTGGGAAAACTGAATCAACAGGTTAAAGCCCTGGATGCATGAAACCCCATGTTTTACAAAAACCATTGTTCCACTGTTTTTTGGGGCAGGAATTGTGGTTTTGTTCTTTGTTAATACAATGCCTCGAACAACTGGTTCTTGATCCCTGATTAGTGTCTCTTCAGTGCTACAGCAATCAAAAAATAAATAACAAGAATGGCATTTTAAGGCTCTGGTACTGTAAGTTACTTGTCCAAAGCCACAGAGCAAAATGATGCAGAGCCAGATTTAGCACACAAGGAATTTCTTTTGCCCAGTCTCAGCCTCAGACCATTATTTTGCTTCTCTCTAGTAAATGACCTTGTCTGATGTGCTTCGATCCATCACGCCGGTCTTGGCATGCCACTGCCAGCACCTCTGCTTCTCTGAGTCACTACAAAGGCAATTGGATGGCAAGCAGCTCCTTCCTTCTAGGTTTGACACTCACGAGGAAGCCTTCGGAAGTGCAGAAGTAAACCCTGGGAGTCACGCAGATGTGTTAGGTGACAGACAGGCTAGCATGCTTCAGGACTGACAGCGGGGAAGGACCTCAGCATAGGGCGGTGCAGACTGAGTATCTGAAACAGAGCTGGTAGCATGGTCTCAAGTAAGTCGTTAGATAAGTCTATTTGTTTCAGTCTTTTATGAGAGTACAACAGTGTGTCTCTATGGTATCTGGGCTGTCTCTTGGGAGGCACCTCTATCTCCCCAAATTTCAGAAGGAATCTCAGAGGTAGGATGGTATTTGGATGCACACCCACTCCTTGCAGTATGTCCTCAATGCAAGTGCTTCACCTCGTGATTGTGTGGGCATGGTATTCTGCCCTTGAATTGAATTCAGTTCGTCTCTCATTCAGAAAAATACTTTCCTTAGCTTGGGAGAAGAGAATATTGAGTGCAGTATGTATCCCTCCCGTCTGACATGATTACTTCCAGCAAAGTCAATGGAATTATTTGCACAGGATATGGTCCAGTGTTAAGAAATTCTTTAAAGCATTGGAGCAAAAAAAACATGTGTGTGTCTTCATATGCTGGAATTTATCCATTTTCAGGCACAGACAAAGGGAGTATTAAGGACCATGAGAGAGTCCCGTTAAGGGCATAGTGTACCAAGGGTGTGAGACATAGGACAGGGTAGGATGGACTAGGATAGGAAAGGAAGGGAAATAGTCTCAGACAGGCAAATAGGGTAACTTGTCCAAGTAACTTCTCCAAATCTGTTTGAAAGTGCCCAGCAAACAGGTCGGGGCTTTCTTGAAGTTACAGTTTAAGGAATGAAATTATTATAAAAATAATATTAGAGGTGGGCACAGGCTGCAAATATGGTACTTTTTCTGAAAAAAACCAAACTAATTAAAAATCATTTCCCCTTCTGTTTCTTTGCCAAGACCTATTTTCAGGACTCTGTACTTCCCCTCAAGCAGCCAATGAAATTTGAAATTTCAGGCAACTAAAACAAATAGAGGCAGTATACTTAGGACTTGGCCAGTAAAAAAAAAAAAAAAAGAAAAAAGAAAAAAAGAGGAGATGTTTTTAAAATGTTTTGCTTTAAAATATGCTAGATTGTAATTTTTATGTTCATGCACATTTTATTATTAATTTTGGCTGGTAAATAGTTCTTGTTATAAAACAACAGCTTAAGCATTCACCTTTCATATGCAGTTAAACTCAGATCCTGTGTAATTTTAGGTTTCTGTGCTTGCTATTTGCAGGACACACAGAGGAGCAATTCTCTTTAAAACTTGGATGTGATGTACATCCGGGTTGAGTTATGACAGTGTAAATCATGTTCACTGCTTAACCAGGGATGCCATGCACAGTGGTTAGAGCCATGTTCTTTACAGTTCTCATCTTGTGCGCATGCCACTCTAGCTGCTGAGTTCATTCCAGCAGCGCATCAAATCATACGACTGGTGTCTGTTCCACATGTGTTCACTCTGCCTCTTCCAGAGCCAAAAATGTAGGTGGTGGAGCCTCTTGCTCTGCAGAATGGGTGCTAGAGAGGCACTTGGTGATGAGTTGGATTTGTTGGATTTTTCTAATTCTTCTTTTCATTGTCGTTTCATAATGCACATCTTGCTGTCTGCATGGAAGATGTCAAAGTCAAGAAAGTAGGCTTTTTTGGGTTGTGGTCCTCCTTCTGCGAGTATTCAGGCCATCTGTTGAAGTCACAGTGACCATCCACGTGCTGGAAGTTAATACATGCACTTGTCAGATTGAAGTTTGAACTACCGTTTCACTTGAGTAAAGGTGGCACATGTCCCTCATGCAATGATATCAACTCACAGGTTACAAAATTCAGAACAAAATATATTTATTCAATTAAATAATTTATAAAGGAAAGAATAAGGAAAAAGAAAACATGAAAAAAATAGTTTTAAAAATGAGAATAAAATTTCTGTGCAAAATAAGTTTTGAGTTTAAATTTTATTCCCAGTAGTTTGTCATACTTCGCCAATATATTTCTTTTTTGTTCTTTCACAAAATGACTGTGCTATCACTCAAATATCTCAAACACATTGACAGACTGATCTGTAAGGCATTCCTCATCCTACTGTTATGGGAGCTGCTGGACAGACAGCTGAACAGTAGTTGAGTCATTAGAACCTGGTTGCAAACACATAAATAAGTGTATTTTAGTGTTCTTGTGAGTATGTCCTCTGGACTGAACGTGATATAAAAGTTACGGTCACAGGCTTGGGTTTAGCTAAGGGACCCGTTTTTATGTACTGAATTCTTCAGTAGCATCTCGCAACTGTGGAAACATTGCCTTTGACTAAGAAAATGTCAGGCGAGTTTAGGTTGGTACAAGTCATCACAGAAACAGGAATATTTTAAGATACGGGCAGGAGAACAATTTACCATCAGGAAGCTAATGCATAACCTTGCAGCTTGTCAGCATTTCTGTGTGAGTCTTGTTAATGTGTGGGAAGTTCCCTGTGACTGACTCCCTCATGGAAAGTGGGACAAGCTACCTCCCATATTGTACAAGGTTGTGTGTAAAAGGTATGCCCCAGCTTACCTCATGTCAGCCGTCTTGTCCCCTGTTACATTCTTCATCACTGTTCAGTTTTACTAATGCCATTTAGCCTGTCTCTGTTTCCACACATGCTGGATAAATGATCCTCTCAAGAAGTAATGGAAATGTTGCTCAGGTGCTTTTAACCATGCTTAGACATTTCTCATAGTGCAACCTTTAAATGCCTCTGTGTCGGTGGGTGAAATGATTCCTGTCTGATGCAATTGTATAGTGCAACAATTAAAATGGTAAATTGTTTTGTTGTCGACCCTGTTTAATGTAAACTTTACATCCTCTCCGAAAGAATGAGAAGACTGTGAAGAGAAACATGCAAGAGTTGGGAAATGCCACAGAGCAGATCCCCTCTTGCTTTTGTGCATCATCTCTTCAATACATGGATTATGCGCTGTTATACACCAGCTTCCTGTCTCTCTGATGGCACAGAATGAATGCTTTTAGGGGCTAGCATCAGCTTTGTGAAGTGGAAGACACCACTGTCCAAAGGACAGTCAAGTTATATTTTTTTTGCAGGAAATGGAGGCAGCATCATGAATGAAGCAAGGAATTACGGGTGGAAAGAAACACTATTACGAATAGGCAAGATGAAGGTGTTTGAGGGAATTAATACCATCCCTTCCTTTTCTCTAGAGTCACCACATAACAGTAGACTGTCGCCAAATACTTGAGCTGAGATATTCACAAGAAGCCTCTAATAATGAGTGCGCAGTTCTGAGGGGTTTAGAGAGTGACTCCTGGCTCTCCTTTGCAAGAGGTGCAGAGCATGCGAGAGGATGCATTGAGTTGTACTTTGAACAACTCATCATCTGATTGATAATGCGAAGTATCCTGGAGAAGTTTTGCTTCTGGTTGCATGTTCAAAATCAGCTGATACTTCTGATAATTTTGATTTTAGTGTTTCTCTGTTTCTGTCCACAGTTACAAGGTAAGGATCATACCACCTCCTTTTTACAGGTATAGAAGCAAAGTCACAGTGGTTTTGGTAGATCCAACTACTATAATTAGTAACTAGATGAAAATATCTATGAAGAGGTTTATCATCTCTCCTCTTGGTCACTTCATACTCTATAGAAGATCATTTTTAAATCCTTATTAACTATCCATTTTGTTGACCTCACCTTCTGGCCTCTCAAGCCCATTGATCTCCACACCTATCCTTATCTCCGCCTTACTATTTTGCTCTTGTGCTTTCTCCTTTCATTACTTCTTGAGTCTGATGGCTTCCAGAGAGAAACTTTGCCATTTGGAGGGAGAGCCTCTCAGTTCTGCACTTGGGACCATGTACTTCCCCCTTCACTGGCAAGCTGCCGTGGAGAAGCATCTGTGAGGACAGCAGATACCACATCTAACCAGCACGGAGAAAGGCTTCAGCACGTTCATGGGGAATTTAATCTATCCAGCCTATGCAAGCAGATTTTTTCAAAGGCTTATAACTTAGACAAATTTGGGCAACTTCTAATAAAAACTTATCCCCTGCCAAATTTCAAGTCCTTTCTCCAAAACATGGATGCACTACAGCTTTTTAATGAAACAGTTATTAAAAAACAAAACAAAACTAGGAATAATAACATGTTTTTCTCTCAGTTGTTCTCAGAAAAGTTGTTCTGTTGTTCTCAGAAATGGCTGAACCAGTTCAGCCTGATTTATTTATTTTGGAAAGAGTCAACTGAGACAAACTTTCAGCATGTGAAATTTCAGCCCAACTGGTTAGCCTTTCTCAAAGTTTGGCAAAGTTTAATGCAAGTGAAAATGGCCTTATACTGAGAAGTCAAAGGCAAGCTTACTTATCAGCAATGCTCTTTGCTTGGTATAGAAAAAGACTATATGTATTAACTGCTTTTTTTTTTTTTTAATGTTTCAGATTCTTTGAATATATATTGCTCTATAAAGATGCAGTGATGTTTCAGATTGAACAAGTTACGAAGCTTTGCTCAAAGATTGCTCTGACGGAGCCATGGGATCCATATGATATTCCAGCCAATTCAACTTATGAAGATCAGTACTACATTGGGGGACCTGGAGACCAGATTATGGTACAGGAATGGTCTGATAGAAAACCAGCCAGGAAGTGTACGTGCATGCTTTTGTTTCATCTTAATAACAATCACTGTCTCTGCTACCCAGGGAAAAATAAGGTTGTTCATGTTTCACCCCAGCTTTCCATGTTTCTATAAAGTTTGCTGGAGAAATAATAAATATACCCTGTGCACAGCATATCATTTTATTATCAATGCATATTATTAAGAAAATGTTTCATATCTCAGCATGCTCAAATATGTTCAAGGGACTTGATTGTATTTTAGTTCATATCATACAGATTTTGGCATGGAACAGCATCATTTTGCATCGGAATCCATAGCCTATATCAAAAATTTATCTAGAGAAGAATTAGTAATATAATTAGGGGCACATTCAAACTAGAGTGTGCATAACAGAAACAAAGCAGGTGTCAGTGTGTGTCTACACACTGCAATCAAATGTTATCGTAGAATACGTCCAATACATGGTTCTGCAGCAAGGGACATCCTTAACATGCACCTAAGTTTTGTTACCTGCTACACTAGTAAGAAACATCTGCTCGCAAGGCTTAGTTCTGCACTTGGCAGCTGAACACCTGCATCATAAAAGAAAGTAGGCTGAATTTTCCAAGGTTAGGTTTTGGACGCAAAGCAATTTGTTAGCATATTGATTTCAGTTTCATCTATGGTTTACTGATGACCCAGGCAACTATAAAAATTATTTTAAAACCCCATGAAATTTGTGGAACTATTCAGCTAATGCAATACTTATGGTTATAGACTCCTAATATATAGTTTGGTTATGAACCTGAGCATTTAGCCAGGGGAAAATATTTCTTTCTTGAATGATAGTAGAAAGAATTAAGTAGAAAATGAAGGGTAACTAGGTTGATATATCCTGTGGTATCCTACAAGAGGCAAATTCTCACTTACTCCAAGAATTTTGTTTTTCATTTCCAGTATTTTGTATATATATATGTATATAAGTAATTCCATCACATTCCAGAACTTAATATCCAGATACATTCAGTTAATGATGTGTGATTATCCTGTAGTATTTTGTGTCTCCAGTGCTTTTCTCTATGATCATTCATAAAAATAATGTCTTAAAGTTGTCTACCCACCCACCTTTCAGCTTGGATTCTACAAATTATATTTCTGTTAAAATTATAAATATATTCAGTCAAGATATAGACTACCTTGGTATATTTTACCTTATTTTTTTTATTCAAAATTCTGATAGAAGACTTGTTGAGGAAAAGAAACCTCCATTTCTGGATACTGAAAACCAAACTCATTGAGGTCAGAATGTTTTTGGTATATTAGGATGTTCAAATGCTACTCAGCTTGCCACCCTTTCTTTAGGTACTGTATGTGTGTTTCATGTCACAGCTTATCTATGAGTATGGTACAGCGTATGACACAATACCGGAAGGACAGAAAATAAGTATGGTTGATCGCTGCCGAGTGAGAGAAAATAAGCCTCCTTGGGACTGGAAAAATTTGTTATAGGCATCCCTCAGAGGAACTGATTTATGATTGTAGTAGGTAATTTTGTATTTTAACCTCATGAGTTTCTGCTGTCAAGTGATCTGAACTACATAAAACAACTGGATGAAGTGGTGTATGATGGAAGGCGTAAAGAAAGATCACAGAAGTGCAAGGGGTTAGTAAAAGAGATTTAAAACTGAAGAGTTTTCAAAGGAAACCACCTCGATGGTATTGACTACAGAAATAACATAGTGGTGAAAGTGGAGGTGATGACAGAAGACATGGCGGAAAGAGAGTGACGGAATACCTCTGAGATAAGCATGTCGTGGAATTAAACTGAAGTTAAAAAAAGGGACAGACTTGCTACATCACATACATGGAGGAGATCAACAGTGAGTGCAGTCTTGAAATAATTAATGAACTGGTAGAAATGTTTGAGAGGAACAGGAATTAAAAATATTAACATGATGATATGAATAGATGATGTTAAACAGAAGGAATGAGTATAGAGAAGAGATGGAGACACTTGAGTTGTAATGAGACAAACCTCTGTGGAAAAAGATGAAGCAAGTTCGTGTTTGTTTGCATTAAAGATGTGGTGAGTATCATCAGTGTAAGAATGACGGTTGAGAGTATAGAGGACCAAAAGCTGTGGAAGCAAGATGCTATGGCTGTCAGTTCTGGTGCAGAGGGGTCCCCAGCACAGCAGAGGCCAAGTGCTTCCTTGGGTAGGTGAGTGCAGCACTTCCTGTGCACAGGAAGGAGTCAGATGTCCCACATAGTTGGGGGGACAAAGTATTTTAGAGTGTCAAAGGCTGTGTTGAGGGCCAGCATTGTGAAGTGGATCACAGGTTTTCAGTAATCACACCTCTCAGCTTGTCATGAACAGAGTGTAAGGTGAAATGTCCCCCTGCTACCCAAGATGATGGCACCAAAATTTGTCTTCTGGGAGCGTTTAATTACTTTACTGGTAAAGGGAGTAAGTGCTGACATGAAAGTGGCATGAGAGATGAGAGAAATCAGACTTGTGCAGAACACAACTAAATTTGGGACTAAGCAGAAGCGACACTCCTTCAGAAGAAGTGTACTTGAAAGGTGACATAGCGATGCCATGGCGGTTTTATGGTTTGAAATGTGCTTGACACAAATATGTTCAGGTTTAAGATCCTTGTGGTGTCCAAATTATACCATTTTTGTGGCCTTTCTTGGTGTTTCCATGCATATGGACAGAACTATGGGCAGTTCCAGCCTATAGGCTTTGCTTGAGGAATGGACATTTTTTTGACTGACATAATTGTAACACATTCATTTACTCTTCTCATCTAAAGTAGTCACATTTCTGCTTGGTTACAGTGGAATCCTGGGTCGGCGTTTACACAGTCAAAGACTGTTACCCAGTACAGGAAACCTATACGAAGAACTACAGCGTGACAACCTCCACTCGCTTTTTTGATTTACAGCTGGGCATTGCCGACCCCTCAGTGTTTACCCCACCCAGCACCTGCCAGACAGCCCAGCTGAGGAAGATGAAAGATGAATGCTGATTATGGACACTGGCTGTCCCAGGCAAACAAATATTAGCCAAGAGGATGGTTATTAATTGTCAGTTGCTGACGTCTAACCTGATTTTTTAAGCTTATTGTTGCTCTTTTGGGAATTGTAAGTTTTCACTTGGAAGAGAACATAAACATTTAACTGAGTAAAATGTGTAACACGAAAGATCTCTTTCCTCACATTAAGCTTTTCAGTGGTGCACTTGCAGTATTATATAGTTACCAGTAAGATAGTATTTATAGATACTATTTATTTAAGCTGTGGCTGATTTTCTTTTTGCAAAGGTTTCATTATTTATTTTTTCTAGAAGACAAAGCATAAACAGTCTGCAATAATGGTAACATCTAGAAGGAAAAGCTAGATTTTGTTGTTGTTGCTACTTCTGGGGACTTGAGGGAAGGGGAAATATGTCCTGGATAAGACCTCATCCCTAACCAAAAAACACCTGTTTTAAACAGTGTACATCAAAAGTATGGAAATTTGTTCTCTTGGTTTTGTTTTGCTTTGTGGGTTGTTGGTTGGTTGGTTTTTTTCTGCCCTTCAGGAAGGTGGTAGTCTAATATTTGAGCTCATTTTTTTCTTCCTGAAAAGGTACTGGAGTAGCTCTATTCATGTAACGCTAGCTGACATGCAAAAAAACCCTTTTCTGTTTCTTAGGAGAATGGCATGAAAGAAAAGGAAGGAGGGAGAGGTACACCCCCAAAAAAAGTAAACCAAAGTTTTCTTGCGTTTACTACACTTTTGGTGAAGTGTTCTGGTAGGGTGCAACAAGACATTTTTCAGCCATATTTTACTTTAGCAGCCACTTCTCAAGCAATACTAGTTTTAACCTATGCAAAGAGATTAGTTAAGAGCTACAGCACTATAAACGGCTCTAGTATTTTGTAACTGTTTTCCAAAGTCCTTACTCAAAGAGTATGGAAACACCTTTGTAATTCCAGGTAGAAGGGGAAAAAGCTGTTCTTAGTGCATAATTGGTAAAGGTGAAATCAGCATTCACACAGTGCCTGGTGATGCAGATGGAGTGAGACAGAGCTGTGTGACTGGTGTGGGGAGGTGGGAGGAGCAATGGGAGGCAGAGGGAGGGGGTTTAGATGTCCTCTGCACCATGTGGCTGCAAGGCACTGCGCTCTAAGCAGAAATTACAGTCTTGCTTTCTTTTGCACCCACTCCATTGAAGCCTGCCTTACTTGCTATTCCATCAGCATCTCAAACCTTATTATCGCCACATCCTTTTTTGGTGGGCAGATGAAAGTTTCCTTAAGGGGAATAAATAACTAACTAAAAAAGCACGGGAAGCACACATATTTTCCTTTAGAAAATTCAACCCAAATCTTCATGCACCTTCGGGACCTCAGAAGTGTGGAATGGTGACGGGTATTGCGATTTTACCAAATGAAATTAGTTGGCTTGTTCTGTAAGTCTAGGCAGGCATTTTATTTATTATTTGCAAATATGTTTAAAGCCAGATTCTTGTACTCTTATGTGTGTTGGGTAGTTGTTTGCTCCAGAAGCTGGCTGGCTGGAAACAGTGCCACACTGGGAGGTTTGATGTCTCTGGAGGAGAGATGCTGGGCAGGCTTTTAGTGCTTTATATGCTCATAGCTTTTTTTACATAAGCAAGTGGTACAGTGGTTATTTTGCTTTCACAGCTGTGGTCAGAATAGCATTTTACATTGCCTTGTGCCTAATGAAAACATATACACATACCTGCTAAGATTTAGATAGTTCATTAAAAATTTTCTCTTGGACGTGACCATTTCAGTGAAACATGCTAGTGGGAAGAAGGATTAGGTTGTCTTGAATTCAGAGTGCATTTAGTCTGTACTCGCCTTCTGTATTTTTTGTGACAGCCTAAATGCTAACTGTATATTGTTCTCATTAGGGCAAGGATTAACATGCATTTCTTAGTATCTGTGACCTGTTAGAATCTGGAAATTATAATAAAACTGGCTAGCAAACATGAGGCTGTGGTACTGTATCATTTGGGATGACTTTGTTGTGATAGAGCAGATAGCCCAGTAATCAGGGTGTTTGTACTATGTTTTGCTGCCAGTGATATCTTTTCTAGCAATAACATTAAATGTTCCTTTAAATATTAATTTACAAAAGACTGGTACACAGAATTGCTTTAAAAATGTTGCCGTGACATACAGGGAAATTTTGTATGTCTAAATATGTACCTCTAAACAATGCTGTGGTCTTCGTATTTATGCTCTGAAATTCAATAAAGAGAGTTGTCAAAGAGATGTCGAACAACAAATTTTTGTATTCTGTGTTTCAAATTAGCGATGAACCAAATACGAAGCACAAAGTGCATATGCCTGATATGTTACCTTTGTTTTCATTTGCTGTGGTTTGTTATGTACCGCAAGAGCCATTTTGTCTTTATGCGACTATGCTAATGACTCAATGAGCATAAAAGGACTTTAAAGTAGCCATGTAGTGTGCTGCCACAGTAAAGTAGAAATGAGGTTTTCATATGTCTGATAGTCTGGAGAACTTGTTTATCACAGTTATCTGGTGTAAAATTGATAACAAATTGGTATCTACATGAGTTATATTGTATTCTATTGGGTAACAGTGACAGAGCCTGGAAGCTGGATAGCCTGTGAGACAAAGCTGGTTTTGTGAGATTTCCAGTGCTTCCTAGTTTTAGCTGGGCCAGAAATAGTGCAAACATAGATCTGCCTGCCATATTTTTGTATTTCTGCTTGGAGGCTTCGCTGAAAGCAGGATGTGTAGAAACACAACATTGTTTTATTTAAAGTTAAGCAAACATTCCTGAATCTCAAAACAGGTTTAGTTTGAGTTTGGGGAGGAGATGTGGGCATTTGGTTCAGTTCCTGTTTTAACAGTTTGCTTAGCTGTAGTATTAGGGCCAGATTTTGCTGCCTCAAGCCATTCTGCACACCATGGAAGTGCTGCCATTTACCAGGGCATGCCAACTTTCATGAAAGAATGTAGGAAGAAGTACAATAATCTGTAGTCAAAGTAAATTTTAGTCAAGAAATCTCTAAACAACACAATATTCTTATTTTGGGACACTCTTAAAATTAGTGTTTTTTCCAGCTTGAAGTTCATTTCATTCTAGTGCTCACACTTACTTCTTGCAGCCTTGCATCTCTTTTCCCACCACCCTTTACTTCCTAATGTCACTGTATCCACCTCCAAAGTGGCATTTACAACCCTCACTTGCATTTATTTTAGTAGGAGTTAGCACCTAAATACCTTACGGATCTGATCTGGGCCTGACCTCTTCAGTTTTGCCATCAATCTTATCTCAAGTGCAAGAGCAGTGCCAGCCATAACCAAACGTGAACAACGTACACTGAACTACGTGTAGGTGACCAGTGGTGAGAGCAGCGTTGACTCAGGTCCAGTTGCCGGTGCCCTGAAGTCCCAATCAATGAGCAGTCTTGGCACAGCTCCTGCATCACATCCTGCATCTCCTGCATCCTCAGCCACAAACTGGTGCTGGAGGCAAGCTGCAGTATGTTCCCACGTGACAGAAAGGCACGTCAGGAAATCATCAGCCAGTTGGCTGCTCCCTAGCTGTGAGGAATAAAGATTTGAAAAGAGCACCCCCACAAAAAGACAGCAGTCCCAGACTGTAAAGATCCAGAGATCTCCCTCAGCTACCTTTCCAGGAGGTTGCATTTATGGCATGGGCTTGGGCACATACAGATTTAATCTTCACATTTGCACTTAGGCATAGGAACCAATGAAGCAAGCTTGGAAGGCTCTTTAAGCACTTCTGAGCATTTACTGCTTTATAAGAGGAGAGGGAGAAAAGCTTATGATACAATGAGTAGTCTCAGAAAACAGTGACAGATATGTAGGATAAGAATGATGAGATGCTCCTATGAAGCTGCTAGGGTAAATTTCCAAACATTGTTGAGTGCATGCTAGTTTAACATGCTCCAGGGTAAAGATCCATGTGGTTAGATATGGCTGTCTCAGCACAGAGCCTGAAACTGCATACTGAAGGAAATTATGTGCATAGTTACAGTATGATATTTGTTTGAAGTAAGGACAAATAGCCCAGTAGTGTGCATTTTGCGGGCATGAGCAAGTGACTGGTGACTTGCCTGTTTAGCTACAGGAATATATGTTCCTGTCAGGAGGGATGCTGTCTGCTGCCTCTGAGCAGAGGCTGAGCACATCAGAGGACAGAAGAACTACTTTTCTTACCACCCCGTCCATGGGCACCTGCTTCAGGCTTCTTGCTTTCCCACTCCGCAAAGTTGGAACAATAATTCTGCTTTCTACCTGCTCTTATCTTCCTGACTGCGATAGCTCTGGGCCAACATCACCACCTCAGCCAGTGGGGTCCTCAGAGGCCTGGAGGCTTTGCTGCAGTATCACAAATGTCATGGAGGGTTCCCAGCCTCTGCCTTAACAATGCGTAATAAAATTATGCGTGTGTGTTATACGTGTGGGCTTACCCTTTGCACCCCTGCGTGCTCGCTCGGTGCATGGGGTTGTTGCTCATGCGCTCAGCACCCAGTCATCACCATTAATTGGGCTCAGCTCAGGTTTCACTGACGCCAGGCAAAGGGGCTCATGAGCAAAAGGAAAGGAGAGGAGAGGAAAGGAAAGGAAAGCCTGCTGGGCTTGCCCTGCTCCCCACCGGCACTTTTCCCACGCTTGCCCAGTGCTGGTAAACAGCTTTGACGTTCCTGAAACAGCAGCAGCTGAGTTGCCAGCTCTGTGTTACAGCCTATGTCACGCTGAAGGAGAGGGCTGGGTTTCACCCTCTGCACTAAAATTATCCTTCAGGCCAGGCCGGGGACTTGGTTTTGGTGGAGAAAGCATGCCCGCTCCTATTGCCCCCGCCGCTGCCATCCCAGTTTGTGCCCATGCCATCTGCACCCGTCCGGCAGTCTGTGGCAGTCTCCCAGGCTGTCCCCAGCCTGTCCCCACTGTTTCGTCTCCATCCTCCACTCCCCAACCTCGTTGTCCTCACACATAGGGCTGGTGGGTCTTCTCCACTTTCCTATGGGGCTTGCAAAGGTGTGGGAAAAGTCCTTCCTCTCTTCCCACTGCTATGCCATTTCAAAATTAATTTTTTA